AATTATGTAACCTGATTCTGGATTGTGCTTTTAAAGGATGCTGCTGGTACAGTGAAGTTGTGGGAGATCACTAGAGGTGCTGTGATTCACAACTATGGAGAGGTTAGAATGTAATGTTTCAAGTGATGTGCTAAGTGATAATGGCATGTGTTGAGAATGCTTTTACTTAATTTCCTTTGAGTTATGATAATTGTCACCTTCTGCCTCTAAGTTTTTTTTTGTTGTGTCTTAAGTCTTAACTTCCTTTCACCGTGTTTTCTTTTCTTTTTCAAATGTAGGTTTCATTTGAGAAGAAGAAAGAAGAACTTTTTGAGATGGTAAATATCTTTGTAGAATTCTCCAACTTTCATATGCAAATTTCCTTCTGATATTGTTTGCCTCTTCAGGTGAGCATCCCTGCATGGTTCACCGTGGACACTAGGCTTGGAAGCCTGGCTGTACATCTGGATACTCCACAATGCTTTTCTGCTGAGATGTACTCTGTTGACCTCAACATTCCGGGGAAGCCTGAAGATGACAAGGTGTTTACTGATAACGCTTCATCTGAACTTTTAGATATTTCAGATCTTATTTAGCTGCCATTTTCCTTTTGAAATAGTAAGTATTACTATATATTTATGCAAGAGATGAACTAACTTTTGTGTTTGGATTTTTTAATACTTAGGTTAATTTAGCTCGAGAAACTCTTAAAGGGCTGTTGGCTCATTGGTTAACCAAACGAAAGCAGAGATTTGGATCTCAAGCTTCAGCCAATGGGGAAGCCCCACCTGGAAAGGATGTATCTACAAGGAATTCGACTGCATCAAGAGTTGAAGTAGACGGTAATGCTGACAATGATTCTGCAGTATATCCCCCCTTCGAATTTTCTGCAGCATCCCCTCCATCAATTATTACAGAGGGCTCTCAAAGTGGTCCATGGAGGAAAAAGATTACTGATTTAGATGGAATGGAGGATGAGAAGGACATGCCATGGTGGGTAATGGATTGCGTGATGAACAATCGCTTGCCTCCCAGGGAAAATACCAAGTAATATTTCAATATAACTGTTTTCTAAGTTGTTCACAGTCCTTGGCTTGCATATTGATATTATATAGTAGCATTTTTTTTACAACTAAAAGGAAGTCTTTCTGGAGGGCAGTTACATCTCCACTAACCCTCTGAGCTACAGCAATACAAGAAAAACACGTTATGATCTTTCCTTCTTGACGTGCAAAATTACTTTTTCCACTGACCAGTTTTTCCCCTTTTCTCAATGGGGTTGCAGATGTAGCTTCTACTTGCATCCATGTGAGGGCTCTACTGTCCAGATCCTTACCCAAGGAAAGCTGAGTGCACCTCGCATATTAAGAATTCACAAAGTAAGCTTTTTCCTTGAATCTTCTGGTTTGTTCAGTGTTGGCTGCTCACGTCACTTGTTATGTTCTGCATGCTACACTTGCAAATTTTTCTTTTCGTGGTTCTCTTACAAATCTATTGCAAAATAATCTACATTATGTAGAGGATGAATATGATAAAGTTGCACTGATTTGTTTTTCAGGTCATCAACTATGTCGTTGAAAAGATGGTTCTTGACAAACCCATGGATAATATAAATTCAGATGGAACTGGAGGACAGGTTACACACCCAGCTCTTGGAGGAGATGGCTTATTTCGGACTGGGTTGAAGCCTTGGCAAAAGCTTAAGCCATCTATAGAAATCTTGTGCAATAACCAGGCAAGTTCAGGTTTCTGTCTTCTAGTGTGTGGTATGCTTAACTGGTTAAGAATTAATTTCAAGCACTGTTTTGTTTTTCCATTTCATCTTTTTGTACTTTATGGAAGTTCTGAAAGTCATATTTTAGCATTAGGACTGCCAAACAATCTTTGTATATGTTGGAGGATGTGGTAGATAATTGGTCAATTGGTAATATGTAGGCTCTGCTTCACTCTGGTTTCTGGTTAAGAACTCCCTTTTGTTCTTTTACCAGGTTTTATCTCCTGATATGAGCTTAGCAACTGTCCGTGCCTATATATGGAAGAAACCTGAAGATCTTGTCCTCAACTACCGTGTGTTGACGAGCAGGTGATAGGATTATCTTTATCAGGTATATTCATCATTTTTTCTTTACCTATTTTGTTTCCTCCCCCCCCCCCCC